ATACACAGTCACTGCACTTTACAAACGCTTTGAGACGTTCTCAATGTTTACAGACATTACAGCCGTCAAATGCAAGGATTATTATATTAAAGAAAACTTCAAGACCCATTTAAAAGAATTTCTGGATTCCACTTCAAAAATGTGGTCGTCTGGCAAAAGAAATGGAACCAATTCTTGGGGTATCCCACAAGGCTAGAATTTCAAGATTTCCCGTAACTTTGTATTAAGAGTGGATTTGAAAAGCTTTAAAGATGTCATCCTCATTACGTGATTGAAATCATTCCAAGGTATCAGTTGTATGAGGAATACAGCAGAGTGCTTCACGAGTCCCGCCACAGCGAATGTCTGTCAACTGGTCTCATGGCCTTTGTCTCACAATATTGTGTTGCTCGAAAAATGTGAAACTTCTAGCGTTTTTCGAAGCAAGATAGTTCAGTGCTGGGTAATGGAATACTTTTGTATTTTGGGCTTTCAATATCAATCACTCGCAGGTCGGGTACAGGATGATTAGGTGCAGAGTAATTTACATGCAGGATGAAGATCCCTCCACCTGCTCCAAAAATGTGTCAAAGAGAACACTCAGTGTAGTGTTTTGGTTTGCCACACTAACCATATTTGTCGCTTCTTTTAAATGTTCATCAGTGCCATATTATGGGTAGTTTTGATCTGTGGGTTTCTCTCCAGTGCAAACTGGGTTTGCGCAACTAGATTGCATCAATCTGTGCTGGGTTTTGCAGTTGGGCCCCAGAAATGAAAGAGCAGAACCCCAAAGCCTTGCACCACCAACTACCCCAGCATGATGTATGCTTCTTAGTGCATGAACCACATTCACCTCTGCTACAAAGCTTGGGGGGGGGGGGGGGAATGACACCCAGTGGGGTCAGGTAAAGATGATAATAATCCTTCCATTTGATATACCACCTGATCATGTTGTTGAAAAGTCTCAAAGCGCTTCACAGTGTTTACTGTAAAATGGAGTGACTGTGTATTTTGTGGATCTTTAACGTTCACCTGAACGGGCAGGTGGGACCTTGGTTTAACATCTCATCTGATGGATGGCACCTTCGACACTGCAGCACAACTCCAGCACTGCATTAGAGCATCAACTTAGACTGTGATTCCAAGTCCCGACGTGGGGCTTAAACCCATCACCTCCGACTCTCGAGGCGAGAGTGCTACCAGTGAACCAGGCTGATACGCAAATCATTACAAAAAGGTAGATTGAAGAGTTATGAACAGAGGAAGATTTTGTTCCTAAAGTAGAGGGACAAGATGATTGATCTGATTTAGTTGATGGCATTGCTTCACAGTGTAAGAAATATGAGTGCTTAAGTGAGGAATGCAGCACAATTTACTGCATTAGGCTGTTGGATTTGATCAGCCTCCCTGCAGTAACCCGTCCTTTCTTGTTACAGAATCTGTCAGTGTCGGGTGCATATGATAGAGGGGCAGCTGTGTGCTGTCATGTTTTTGCTTCTAAATTGCAATACCAAGTGGAATGTATTTTGTTGGTGGAGGAGCTCTGCAGATGAGAAATATTTTGATTTCTTCTCCCATCTTCATCCAAGTACAAACAAACTTGACCAATTGAGCTGGGCATTCTCACAGCATGTTGTGTTCGTGACATTCATAGAACTTCAGTTCATTCCCTTGGAAATACTGAACCATAAAGAAAATGAAATATTCCTAAATTCTTCAGCCGGCTGGGGGTGGGTGGGAGCTTAGAACGAAGATGAGCATAATATTAATACAGATCAGTTGTGTATTTAACAAGATGAAAAAAAACAAATGTTGGTACTGCGTTCGAGTCATTTTGTGTGAGAGACGAGGAGAGAGATTTTATAACATCATTTTGTAACAAGACCAGCAGCAGAAAGCCAGTTACTCTCCACTTCTCATTCCAGAATGAATGCGGATCAAGTATAAAGCGAGACCTTCGGTCAATACTTTTTTTTACTCATTTATTACAGCGGGAACTGAGTAGCATAGCAGCCCAGACACAGCACTTGTTTTATTGTCGAGTGTATGATACAATCATGTATTCTAGAGCAAAGAGGAGGTAGCTTTTGTGCTTTGGTTCTGTAGATTTTTGCTTGACTTCCATGCATAACATACAGATACGGTGTATCTGCTGTGATGACATTCCTGCTGCCTTGCAGTCGCCGTTTCAGCAGATCCCAGGGGCCTAGAGTGAGTGTTGTCCTGAGAGTGTTCATATGCCAGGAGGGATTAATCACCTTTCAAACCTTCTTGGCAGGAAATTTCAGGTATTATCTTTTATGTAAGACAAATACAAATCACCTGCTTCATGGCCCCAGCTGGGTCAAGTTGGTACAGTTTTTTTTTATGTCCAGGAATATTGTTGGAGCAAATGGTGTCTGACTGGGTGCTGTAATTCACCTGCATATTTTGTATCGAGTATTGACTGACAGTCTTATTGCAGGCTCGCTCCGCATTCACTCTGGAGTGAAAAGTGGAGCATTAAACTGGGTTTGCATTCCTGATCTTGTTACAAGCACTTTTCAAACCAGGGTCAGCACAAAAGACTATTGTTGTCTGTTTGGCAGTTTTCAAAGTAAAAAGTAATCCTAACCTACTTTTCTCTCGTACCCCTCATTCAATTTTTTTTGTTGCCACATTGCTATCTAATTCCCACTTGATTTTTCTGATTTAATGTGCCTCTACCACATTCTTGAGTAGCCCATTACACATGTTCACTGCTCTCTGTGTAAAGTGATTCAGCCTTGTCTAGATGGTCTGGTCACTCTTTGAATCTGAGTCTGTGAATAGCAGTTGTCTTTCAGTTCAGACCGCTAAGTTCTGAGTTGTTTCGATGACCTGCAATTGATTCAAAAGGAAACTGTGTTTCAGAGTCTTTAGCCTTCCTGTAACTAATGATTTAATTTATATATTTATGATTTATTATGCATCCCAACTCTTGGTAAGATATGTATATGAGTCCGGGACTTTCCAGACAAGTATTTGGGAGTGCAGTAAAATTCCAGTAATTCTGTGCATAGTTGTACAGGCAAAGCCCTCTTGGGCACTGTCATTTAGCCTCGTTCGTCTCAATAATGCTTTTTGTTTCTTCATGTCACTTTGGTTTTTCCCTCCCTTATTTGGCCACATATCTTTGAATGCTGCAATGTAAGAATATTCGTCTCTATTAACATAAAAAAAATTACCGTTCGAATACTGAAGGGAAATACCTTTCCAATCTTCCAACATTTTAGAATATTCAGAAGTGAACCGTCGTAGAGAATTGTGTATTCTAGTTCAGTTTCCAAGTTAGCAAAAACTTGTAGTTTATTTGCCCGTGTTGCTATAGTTTCTGACTGACCCCATAGACATGTCCTATTAAATACTGCTGACACCAAGACCATACAATGGCTGTATTAAATAAGGATAAGCAACAAAATCTACACAGAATCTTGACTGTTTACAAATGTTTTCTCCCAATGAAAGGATTGGGTTTTGTAGATAAACCGACTCTGAGGTTGATACTGATTGTTTTGGAGGCTGTGCCTAGTCATGTCTCTTCTGTTCCAAGACCCCGTCTGATGTGAAGGGAGCAAATTGTTGTTCTTCTTGTTGCTCAGCTCCCATCACTAAGGAAGTTCACTTTGGGTTTCTCGGGGGGTGAGATGTGAAGATTCTGAAATTCTCCTTTACTTCTGGATTCATGTCCGCTCATAAAAAAACTGTAAAGGTTTGGGAATTTTCACCAGGGATTGGCTAGCAATTCCCAAATGTTTGGGACAATGCTAGGTGACACTTTTGAGTTAAAATCCTACTAAAAACACCCATGGCCAGATGCTTGTGCTGCAGTACAGTCTCTTCCTTCAGGTAAGTACTGGGCTATACCGCAAATTAAGCTGTCCCACAGAATCCGCAGCAAGACTGTGACCTAACTAGTTTAAGTGCAGGGTTTGGTGCTGCTGCTGCTAAATTACTGGCTGAGCATTTGAAGTGGGTAATTGAAGCTGCTGCTCATTTGTAATTACCATATCTGTCTCCTCCACTCGCTCAGCAGCAGCACGTGTTCATTGAGGCATCAAGACGCACATATCAGGCCAGTCCCAGATTTGCTTCTTGTACAGGATAGTGCTGCACTTCACTTTGGCATCCTGAAGGGTTTGGGAGGGGGTTGGGAGAAAAACAGCCAATGAATGCTCCTGCTCCTGATTGCTATCCACTGACCATTACTGGAAATGATAGAGTGGGGGTGGCAGGGTTTAACTGTGATACAACTCTCTTTCCGTGTGGAATAACTCACTAACACTCACTCCCTCGATCTACTTGTGAACAACGGCCTATTGGTAGATCATTGTAGGGAAGGGGAGATGAAGCCGTTTAATGGTAAACAAACAGAACAATACTTGCCCAGATTCAGAATGGTGAACTGACCCACCCCTGGAGAATGAAAGGTAAAATAGATAGTTATAAGAATGATGGTAGATCATATTTTAGTGCTACTTTATTAATGCTGAATCGTGCCACCAATCTTCTCGTGCTTTTGGCCAGTAATTGCCCAATTTGGACATTTCCTTGAAAATACCCTCCTGTTATTTATATCCTTGCCTTCCCTTCAGCGATCCCAGGTCTCATTTGTGACAGGCCCCAAGCCGTCTCTCTCCTTATCTCTGGCAGTGCATATCTTGGATCAGATGTTAGCTGGAATCTACATCTCCCAACTCCAGGGCACCATAGATTGGAGCAACTATACCATTGTACCATGTGTTTAGTTGTATTTTGGCCACTTTCACTTTCGTCAACCAAGAAACTCAAATGATTCAGAGTTATCATCTTAAATTTCATCCACTGTATTGGGAATACTTTCCAATATGGGTGGAGTGGGCAGAAATGGCAGGACTATCTACACATCATTGCCACCTATTGCTTGACCTGTCTGTGCTAGAGTTGAGTCTTCCTGTAAGAATGGAAGCTATCTGGAGCTCACTGCTGGACATAAAAACTGTAACTGATGTATTGTTTTACAGTTTCGCTTTGGCAGATGAGGCCTACCGATCTCTACGGGACCAGGACAAAGACCAGTGTATACTTATTACTGGAGAAAGTGGAGCTGGAAAAACAGGTATGATTTTACTGCACCTGGTGAACTATATAGAACCTTTTCATTGTCATTTAACCAACACCATATGCATTGGCACCGAGATGAATGGTTGAGCCTTGATGTTGTGCCTATTGGTTGTGTGTTTCAATTGTAATCTCTGAATTTTAGTGCTCACTCAATGGGGAATGAATGGTGTGCGCTGGTTAAATCCTTGGAGATTTATATAAAAATGTTTTATGCAGAATAATTTGGAGTAGCATAAATGCTCTTTTGAACCTTTCTCAAGTGAGAACAAAAGTCCTTATGTTGCAGAGTTTGTAATGTAGACACAGCCGTCACAATGACAGATCAGCATTGTGTGAATGCGCAAATCCCATCGATTCAATGAAACAGCCACAGAACCCCACAGCTCTATAAATCCGCTTGCTTCACTCAATCCTCCCATTGCAAATTTGATTACTGACCTCAGACTGTCAAGTTTCCATGTTTGTCCTGCTTATTTCACTGTCATTTCTTAGCATTGGTCTTCAGCCCTGGGAGTGAAGAAAAAGCTTGTTACCCTCAGTAGATCAGCACGATTACTGATCATATATTACCATATTATATAAATGTTACCATACGATTAGCATCTGATGAATACATGAATTTGTGATCAGACCTTTCTGTTTCTCTCTATATCTCTCTCTCTCACTCACACACACTCTCTCTCACACTCTTTCTCTGACTCTCTCTTTCTCATACTCATTTTCTCCCTCTCTCTGTCTCACATGCCTGTTCTGCACTAAATTAGAAACTACAGTTAGCTCTCTCAGCGAGATCTGTAATGACTGCCGTGGCAAATAATGATACTTTCATTTGGGACTTCAGAAACCTTCTATTACACTTCAGCATCTCCTGTCATTCTCCTGTCTCCTCTCAAGTGAAATGGTAATCGTCAGTACAGAGAGTCCAGAAAATGCGAAACTGCTGCAGACTTCAAAAGGAACCTGATTTTCGGACGTGGCTAATTAGACAGTGGAGCTGCAGGCATTTGGGTTTCATCCGCCAAGTTGAACAAATTCTTAAAGGGCAACCAATCATAACTGGGTGAGGTAGAAAGTCATAGGTGGAACTCATATGTGGTGTCCAACTCTGTATTCTCTACAATGTCATCGGTGTGCCATGTAGTTCATCTGGTCTTTCAGGAACTCGATGCAAGTCATTGTATCGGCTTCTCAAAAGTTGACAGCTCCAGCCTTTTTTCCTCCCAGTCTGAATCTAAATAAATTCAAATGGGGTTGTTTTTAGTGTGTGCAGAGGTTTCTGAATTTGCCCTGTTAAGACTCGGCTGGTTGATATAAGTACAGTTCAGGTTCTTGTAGCTGATGTGAACTGGCTTGCAAAATGGCCAAAAGATGTGCGGTCGGAACCTAGGGAAGGAAGAAGCTCAAATGGAGTTATTGGGTTTGAAGATAAATTAAAAAGTGTGAGTGATCTGAATCCTCAGTGCTCCCCCACCCGAGTGACTGAGTGGTGAAGAAACAGTAAACAGATCCTACTTAGATCCACGGACAGCTGTGCAAACACAGCACTGTAGGACCCGTTTTAAATATTTGTATGTTCATGGGCAAGTGCATAAATGGTAACAAAAGTGGGAGAACAGACTGCCAGTGGACTTCCTGTTAGGAGCAGGAAGTGGTAGTAAAAGATCGCCTGTGGACAAAAGGTCATCATAGCAGTGGTCGAGTTGACAGCGTGATGCTTTCTGCCCAATCTCTGCTCTGATCACCAAAAGAAGACCATTATATTAACCATTACCTTGGTTCAGCCACTTATAATTTAGGTCCTGCTGCCTTTCAAGACTAAAATAGCAGCTTCCAGGCTGCTGACCACCAAGGAAGGAAACATCATTCAGTCTGCCACAAAGAAAAGGGCTCATCTTTATTTTTAGCCTTTTATTTGATGATTATACTTGTCAAGAGCCCGAGAGGAGGAAACTTTTTTTTGTGCTCTAAGCTGGAAAAGGATTTAAATGCATCTCTTCGGCTCTGTACGCACCACTCTTCCTGCATGACTCATTGATCCTATAAAGACTTCATGCGGTCGGTGCTGACATGGCCAGATGTTCAAACTAAAGTCCGGAATCCTTATACAGAAGAGTATACTTCCTGGCTGGAAACATTGGGCTATTGTTATGTTACACATTGGTACGATTCTCTCTTTTCTTTTGTTCGACACAAGATAATATGTTGAGCAAAAGAAAGAGAGCGATGACGCTCTTATCATACACTATATGACACCGCCTTGCAACAGCTCTTTGTCTAACTCGGATAATTGCACAGATTAGTCTTTTCTCTGCTGTATTTGTTTTCCACCCCAACCCACTCTGGGTCAAAATCCTGGAACTCCCTAACCAACACCGTCATGGGAGCACCATTGCCCACGAGGACTGCAGAGGTTCAAAGAGAAGTCCCCAGCACCACATTCTCAGGACAGTCAGTGTCCGAAGACGGCAGCCAAATTCCACAAAGCAATGCCCATGAAGTGAATGATCAATTTTATCTGTGGGATTTTTGCCAAGGAAACTGAGAGAAACTATTTGCAAATACAGGGCGACCAAAATTTATGATTTGTGAGTTACAATGTCTAATAATTCTTAAAGCAATTATGATTTTTTTAGATAATAGGGTAGCTGAAAATTAAGACTTTTTGGTCACCTTGTATTACCATGAAATCTTTAACATCCACCTGAACAGGCAAATGCGACCTCGGTTTAACATCTCCTCGAAAGGACGACACCTTCTATCTTTCTATGTAGCCTCCAACTTCACCAGCATTGCATTGTTAATGTAGGTGTTCTTTGTAGCTGGGCGAACAATTGGGAATCCCGTTGAATCCCATAATTAGGGTAAGTGCCCCTGCTGTTAGGAGAATGGAAAGTGAATTAACCATCTGGTGTCTGATTGTAAGTGGATGCGTAGGTCTTGGTCACTCCCCTGAGGCGAAGGACATTTCCTCTGAAAATGCCAACTTGAGCAATAGATTTTCAGCACTGTGGATTTGTAAGAGCAAATAGCGCCTGCAACATATGAGCTTAGCCTCGTTAAACTCTCCTCCACAGACATGACGGACATTATAATAATAAATTATTAATAATACTTACGTTTAGTATAATGCCTTTTACATCATGTCTTGAAACCCTGCACAGGATGTGTAAAGTGTAGTAACTGCATATTATGTAGGCAGGATTCCACACAAAGCAGTGTCCCACAAACAAGCCATGAAATGAATGATCAATTTTATTTGGGGGCTTGTTGGTCAGGTCACCGGGAGAAGCTCCTTTCTCTTTTTGTAATGCCACGGGATCTTGTAACATTCACTTGAAAAGGTAGATGGGTCTTTGGTTTAGCATCGTATTCAAAGAACAACCACCTCTGACAATGCAGTACCCTCTCAACAGTTTGTGATAACAACTTGCATTTATATAGCCCCTTTCGTGTAGCATGACCATCTCAAAGTGTTGAGTATATTTTTGTTAAAAGAGTTTCTTTCAAACAACCCTTTTTAATGAAATACCGCATACTCCTCCGGTATCCAGTTTTCAGCACTAATTCATTTTTATCTCTTCATCCGCACAGAGTGGTTTCCACTTACTTGCTGATAACAGCCAGCAACTGCTCTGGAGAGACTGTCACCAGCAATTTGCCATTTGATGATGTTGCGCTGCTTGCACCAACGTTACACAACGTGGGCAAAGCAGAAATGTCAACACGGGGCATCTAAATTAAATGCTGTATAAACAGTTGCTAATGGTTGAACTGAGGGGGAGGTTTTTTTTGTGTGGGAGTGTTAATGAACATCCTACACTCTCCTGAAAGCACAGTCAATTTAAAAGCCAGATGACTGTTCTAAAGAGTCGTGGATTTCAGGCACTATGGCAACATGATCGGGTGGCGCAAGGCATCTTTGGAGCAGTCCAGAACTTGTATCCTGCGCTCGGTAAAAGGAGACATTCAACTTCTTGAAACCTTTTGGTGCGTGGATGAAATTAAAAGGGAAATTTTCAGTGCGTGGTTAATAATATTCATAATAAAAAATAATCCTGGCATTTGATATAGCGCCTTTCAAAGTGCTTCACTACATTTCTGATAAGTGTAGTGATTGTGCATTTTGTGGTGAACCCAGCAACCAATTTACACATAATGTCCCACAAACAGCCATGAAGCGAAAGACCAATTTTGTTTGGGGAATTGTTGAACAGGTTACCAGAAGAAACTCCCTTTTCAAATCGTGCTATGGGATCTTTACACAAAACATCTTATCTGAAAAATGGCACCTCCAATGATGCAACACACCCCCAGATCTGCATTGGAATGTCAGCCTAAACTATATGCATTCCAGATCCCAACAGGAGATTTACATTTGTAGAACTTTTGGTCTGGTTGAGTAATCGTAAGCACAGCGTTGTGTGTGTGGGTGTGTGTGTGTGTATGAACTGAACAGTGGTAAGTTAATAACCAGCTAATCTTGTGTTCCCTTAAACTAGCGAAGTAAAACTGGACACTGCAGAGGTACTGTTGGGCTAGTTGTAGACTATTTCACAAGATCCTTCGCCCTGAGAGGAAGTGCAAAGGTAGATTTTTTTCAGCTTTGCGACTCCTTCGATAGAATTTTCCAATCCAGCCACTTTTGTGCTAAAATTACATTCTTTTTCCTTTCCCATGGTTTCTGTCCAGCTGCCATGTGTAACAATCTGTGGTTACTGGTTCAACGCCAGTAAAGACTCCCTGGCCCGGGAGTTCTTGTTGTCCAGCAACTGTTTTGCTTGCAGAGGTTTGGTGGCTGTTTTCTCTCTTTCCTGAGTTATGTGATATTCCAATATTGCGAAGCCTCCTGCCCAGGCCTCTGTCACAGCCACTTTGAAATGAACTCCTAGTGATCGTGTGAAAGAGACTTCGAGTGATTTATCTCTCAACCCTCACTTCTCCCCACCACCTAACCACTCCACGGGGAGTGTCCTGACTACGCAAAGCACCCCCACTGTGGACCCCTGAGGTTGGAGCTCAGGCTGTGCAGGGGTGGCAGATCTCATTGGCTTAGCTATTTAGCGATCGGTGCCAGACAAGCTGCAAGTGCAATGTGTAGTCATGACTTCCTGCTGCTGCCTTTGGGAGCAGCGTTTACATTACAGTTCACATTCTGCAGATCCACAGGGTTCCCATAAAAATATTGGCAAGTTGTGAAATTTAGGAGCATTGGGAACTTGAAGTCTCAGCTTGGTTTGTATATAAACCAAATTTGAATCCGAAATGGTGTACATGCGTGTGTCCACGCGCAGAACAAATCAGGGCCAGTAGTTAGCTAAAGAAGAGTGTTATAATAACAATATAATAATTATAATATAATAATACTTCCTGCATTTAATATAGCACCTTATCGTGTCTTTGAGACATCTCAAAGAGCTTCACAGAATATATTGTAAAGTGAATTGACTGTATATATTGTGGGCGAACTGCAGGAGCCAATTGCCCACAGGTTAAGTGAACAATCCCTGGACAGACTCAGAACCTAGAGCAGAAGAGTTCAAACTCATATCTTGGCTATTAATTTGTGGCAAAAAAGATTGTCTTCTTCCAGACCAGCTAACTGTAACATTTCCAGCAGCAAGGGTTTGAGCTGTGACTTTCACCTGTATCGACTGGTCTTCTTGACACTCAGGAGATAACCACATCCCAGAAGCTTGCAATCAGAGTCTTGGAGCTTTTAATACAATAAATACCGATGAGCCATGTGATGTGTCTTATTTATCACAAGACTGAAGAGTGTGTCGTACAGACTCTTATATCCTGTTGCACTATTTATAAACTGCCCCATCATAAAAAATATATTAAGTAAAAGAACAGAATCATCTTTCATTTAATATACACTTTGACCCAGGCTGAAAGCCTCACTTCTGAGAATAGCATCAATGCTACACACATGATGTGCTTTTATAGTGTGATCATCTTTCTTTTTCAAAGTTTTTTAAAATATATTATTAGAGTTCTGTTAGTTACAGAATTGTTTAATTGTTAAAGCATCCCTTGCTGTTGAACATGTTTACTCTGCATTCATATTGCTGTCAGTCTGTCAGTCTCTTCCAACGAGCTCTCACCATCATTTCTGTGGCTCAACAGTGATACAACGAGCAAGAAAAATTGGACAGGTTAGAACTTTTCTCTCCAGTGAGGAAACAACTGTGAGGGATCAATGCAACTTATAATTGGGTAGCAGTGTTTAAAATTATAAAAGAATACAATAAGGTGGATAATAATAGACTGTTTCCACTTGATAGTGAGTCCAAAAATTGGTGCTATTAGTACAGTATAAGGCAGCCACTAGCAGACCTAAAAGGAACTTTGGAAGAATTTCTTTATGTAGAGGGTTGTGAGAATAAGCAACTCACTTCTGGAAACTGTGATTGAAGCAGAAAGCATCAACATATTTAAGAGGAAACATGGTGTATACAGGAGGAAGACGGAAATAGAAAGAGAAAGGAGAGGGAATTAGAAGCGTGCAAAGACTTTGGCCGAATGGTCTGTTTCCATGCTGTAGCATCCACATAATGCCAAGTATTGAATGCACAGGGTCATTCAGCATCCCCAAAGTGCTGAGCTTGAAATTATCATTCTTTTGTAATGCTATGCAGCCTAAATAAAAGTGACAAGCTGTGTAAAATTTGTAGTGTTAGCTTATGTAGGTGACCACAAAGTTTCGATGTAAGCCTTTATGTGCTCCTTGAGGAGTTGGGCTTAGAAGTATGTAGAACATTACAGAACAGAAACATGCCAATTCAGCCCAACTTGTGCATGTCAGTGTTTATACCACAAAAAACTCCATCCCTCCTGTTTCCCTCTCCCATGTCCTTCTATTCTCTTCTTCATATATGCATACTTCTTCAATTTTGTCTTAAATACACTGTTGACACTGCACCAAGCATTGTTCAAGTGGTAATATTTCAGCATGGCACTCTAACTCCGAGCTATTTATTGAGCAGGGTATGTTTTAATGATTGCCAGCTGTAGTAAAAAAATGGAACAAGAAGCACTGATACAAACTATTTCTTAAACCCATAAGGAGAATCATCACCCTGAAGTTGAACATTTTGTGGTGCATTTTGATTGCAGAACACATTCTTGGATCCAGCTCCCTGTTTATATATTTTTATAAATTTGACCACAAAAATGTTCTTGTGTGCGTCAAAAATCAGAAGAGGAACACATGTTGATGTTCTGGTCAAGAGCTAATTGAGAACGATCAGTAGGTGTGTTCTTTGGGATCAGTCAAATTGAGAACAAGAAGTACTTAGTGGACACTGTGCACCTCAGTAATGGGAGCATCAAAGCTAATTGGTCTCAACTCTAAAACAATTGAGTTTAACTGCCTTGAAGGGCTAACCTTTAACTGTTGCTCTCCCTCTTCCCATCCTCACTGTATTGCAATCATAGGCTCTCACTCCCAACTTATTCGTTCCCAGGACCTCAAGATTGTGACGTTCTTTATCTTCAATCTTCCCCTCCTCCTACGATCTACAGGCTTTTAAGACTCAAGCTTGGCATCACCACTTCTTGATTTATTGTGCCCTTTCTTCTGCTCATTTCAACCTTTGCACTATTTTGCACTATGGGATCACCATCTTGCTGAGGTCCTCAATTTAAAAAAAAATCCTCAATAGTTATTCTGCTTCAGTTTATTTCCATCACGATCTTACTGAGTGTTTCCAGCTCACGAACTCTGGGAACTGAGCAAAATCAGCTGAAGGTCTGACATCTGTGCATCTTGTATACAGAGGGGTGCAGGACGCTGAACTGACATTAGATGGCGGCGGGTGGGGGGAAGGAATGAAAGTCTTCAACAGTAATAATAAATAATTCCATGTTTTAAATATATAATATTAATGCCTCTTCCTAAAAATAGGTCTCTTTCAGTTTGGTTTGCATACTCTTGAATGTAGTGATGGGGTTCCATATGTGGCTGACCAAAAAAAACCACAATTAAACAAAATTATATGCACTCTGTACCATCTGTTTTATCTCAAATGTAGCTGGCTAGAAAATAAATGGACTTGCATTATAACTGCTGTTGCTAAACAAATTCGCTCATTTATAGAAGAAAACATTGCCGCATAACTTCTAACTAAACTATTCAAACTGCTAGGAATCCAAGAAGACCGCGAGCTGTCTCTGTCCCCCAGTAACACTGACATTGGCTGTTAAGAGTTATCTGATATGTGATGGTTCATTCTACCAGTCTGTTACTCAGTCCTGCCTCCTTCTGCAGTCCGAGAGAAATCTGGCTTCAGCTATAATAAACTTCATTTTCTAGGCAATAAAATCCCTTTATTTGATAAAGAATTAGAATTGCTCAAAAGCTAAGATCATTTCTTTTTTTAAAAAAAAGCAGACACTGTGTTTTGTTTCTTTCCAAACCCGCAAAATTGTGACGTTAATCACACAAAAGAAAATGGCAACTGAAGCTGACAAAAAGATGGCAATTTACAGACATTTCTCATTGTGTAAGAGTGGTGAGAAAGGGGTGTGTGTTTGGCTGTTTTTTGAAAAGTGGGTGCTGAATTCCTGATTGGCTGTCAGAATTTGCCTTAACATCATGTTTGATTAGAGTCTTTGACTTCTGAGCTCTTTCAGTTTACTCGTTAGTCACAACACCTCGTACTTGTCAAAAATCTGTTCCTGACGAGGAATATGTTTCAAAGATTCTTGGTGTTTGTCAACCATGTATGATTTTTAACCGAGAAAGAGCTGACATTTTTATAGCACCTTCAGTCACAACACTTCAAAGTAATTGCTGTCAAGTGTAGTGGAGTCTCTGTAGACAAACATAGCAGCAAGGACCCACAAACAGCCATGTGGTGAATTACTAATTTATCTGGAGCAAAATTGGTCAGGACACCAGGAGAAATTTCCTTCTAATATTGTCATGGCTTCATTATCATCCATCTAAAAACAGGCAGGCAGGACTTCAGTTTAAGATCTCTTTTTCCCCAGCTCTACTCTGGAGTGTCAGCATAGACTTAAGATCTCAGGTCTCCATTTGGGCTTTGAACCCACGACCTTCTGATCCAAAGGCAAGGTTTCTACCAACTGAGCCAAACTGGTACACATAATGAATTTAGTTCCACTTTGATGACTATTGCTTTGGTACTATTGGAATCTGAATATCTTTTCAATCTTTTCAGAGGCCAGCAAACTGGTTATGTCCTACGTCGCTGCTGTTTGTGGCAAAGGAACAGAGGTCAATCAAGTAAAGGAACAGCTCCTGCAGTCGAACCCTGTGCTGGAAGGTAAGATTTTGAACATATAATAATAATAATTCTTGGCTTTGATATAGCCCCTTATCACATCATTGAGATGTCTCAAAGTGCTTCACAGAATATATTGTAAAGTGGATTGACTGTGTATTTTGTGGGCAAAATCTATTCCATAAATTAAATATATTATACATATTGCATACATTGACTTACTAAGCCAGAACCAAGACAAACCAAATTGAGCGGTGCTAAAACCCAACGTTTGCTATTAAAAAAAACTTACATTGGGTAGAGCACCTTTTATGTTGGGGGGATGTCTCAAAGCGCTTCACAGGACTTGCTGTTAAGCATAGGTACTGTGCATTTTATAGGCAAATTCCGACTAGTGAATTGGAGATTGTACCTGGATAATTCCCAGTAGCAGAAAAATAATTTCTCGGTTTGGTATTACACAAGAGTCTTGTTGCAGAACTCAAAAGAGCCAGGTATTAAAGGAGTGGTTTTGATACCACTGATAAGGAAATTCTTGACACATCATCCAAAAGACTCCAGAGTGACTGGACGCATTCATTTTCAATCTCATCAATGCTTTGCTTTTAGTTGCTTTGCTTAAATTAGGAAGAACCTTAAATTAGCAAACCATATTATTTTTCACACCTAGCAGAGCATTGTGAAAAAAACTGATCTATTTTAAAGCCATTCATTTGCAATCCCACCAAGGAATGGAGCAAGTTGAGTCAGATTGTGGGCTGTTTATGAAGGTTAAGGCCTGTTCTAGTAAAAACATACTAGTACATTACATACATTATTTTAATATATATATATTTACCACAATCTCTTTAGTATCTTAAGCTTCTCTCATAGTTTCTCTCTCTCCCACTCTTTGCAGCAATGAGGGAGCGATCAAGGTGGCAGTATTTGTGATTGATACTTCCACTTTCCTGTAGGTACACGTCACCTTCAGTACTGCTCTTGACATTAGGAACTTGGCAAATTTATGGCAGTGAATATGTTTCCTTGTACAGCACATTGACCCATTGCTGTATGACTGTATATTCCCCTGGCACGGCCTGCCTGCAAGTTCCTCTTGGTTTGGCTGCAGGCAGGACCTTTCACCTGACTTCGGTGTTAAGGCTCCATTCTTGGCTGAAAAGAGGCATGAGATTCTTTGTTTTCTTCCCCCCAATACATCTTTCCATCGAGCAGCCTGTGCTTTGCCTGGTGAAAGCTCAATGTGTGGAGTTGTACGGTTTAACTATCTTTCACCACTGGTGGACTATAAATGAGTGATATGATTCCAACTCTCGCTCCCTAATGGGATGCATCCTACTTACCTAATCTGGAGAGTGTTAGGCGCAAGCTAGCAGGACCTATGGGTTAGGGACACCAGAGTATGTGTTGGGGTACTACTGGAGTTTAACCAACTAAAACCACGTGGCTTGCCATTGAAAGCACTGTCTGGCAAGCTTTCTTGCTGCTTGTCCAGCTAGGACCACCCATCTGTAAGGGCTTTGGCTTGCAAGGTTAACAGGAGATGAGTGGGAAGAATCCCTCCCCCCCAACGTTGATTAGTCTGCCCTTCAAAGTCCCATCAATGAGCGGAGCTGGCTGGGTTGTCCTGAGTACTGTCCTGGAGTACTGCAGACCTGCCTGGCTCAGGAAACATTCTACTGAGACCACCACAGAGGGTGAGCTTGATTTTGATATTGCTTGGAGCCAGCTTAGCTCCAACAAGACTCTGCTCAGCTCCCTCCCCTCCCTCACCACACCCACGAAGGCTAGTAGATTTGCAAGCCAAATGTATGGTTATACACACAAAAGCATAAGTTTTATTTTGTTTCTCTGTCTGGTTCATGATGGTAAAGAAAGGTATTGGTAGAAGAATCTGCAGCTGATGAAATGAGAAGAGGCCTGAATTTCAATGTTGTTCTGCCAAACATTGCTGTGAGACACATAATATTTCTATCTGTTCCATTGAAATAATTGGCTTTTTAATTCAGACATGAAGATCCGAGTGTAACATTTTGCTAATTCTTGTTTTTCACCAGCCTTTGGAAATGCCAAGACTATGAGAAACGACAACTCATCCAGATTTGTGAGTAATAAATTCATAGTCCTGTTGAGCTGTGGATTTTCTCCTGGAGAAAATTTACAATAGTTTTATATAATACAAATCATTAATGCACTTTAATCTACCACTCAAACTGCATCCACATTGACATAAACCCGAGCACCATTGCACAGCAGAACCTGACCCTGTGGGCATCTCAGTAATGAGGTAACTCACTATTCAAATTGTTTCTTCACAGTCTGATTCGTTTTCATTTGCATCTGATGGTGACCAAATGCCCAACTAAGGGCACGCCCTGATGAGTGTAAAATAAGATGAGTCTATTAACTGCTATGTATAGTGAGATTTTATTGTAAGGGTAAACCTCACTATGGTAACTAACAGGGGACTTCAAGAAACTGCTCTTAATTGTGTTTCTCAATAGTTGGTCTGTGCCACTGTCAAACCTACACCTTATTATATGCTATATGAATGTAAATTTGTATTATTAAGATTGATGACTGAGCACAATAAGGTGCTGCTGAAGATTGGAAAGCCTGGGAACAAATGCTATTGACAAACGTGTGCTAACAATTCTGGTTTTCTTCCAAGGCTTTGCATTGGGCAGTGGTTTGGGAGTTAATGGGAATATTGTAAAGTGAGCACACAATACACCAATGCGATGTTCTTAAGACACTATAATCCAACTTGAAAATCTTCCAGACTACAGAATGTGTACAGACAGATTCAGAGAATTAATCACAGCATTGTTATAAATTGACTTAAAGCAATCTAACATAAGTGACTTAGAGTAAGAGTAAAAATACACAGTTTAAAGTACAGTATTGGCAACCACACTTAGAGGAAAACTGCATAGAATAAACGCCTTTGTTTAATGTCACCTCTTGCCCCTTCAGGTAATTATTACATCCAAACAGTGATTTCATTTCCTTGACATGGATTAAAAACCTGTTTTTTTTAAAAAACAGGGCAAGTATATGGACATCGAGTTTGATTTTAAAGGTGACCCACTCGGTGGAGTTATCAGCAACTGTAAGTATGGCACACTGGCTAATAATAATAATACTAACAGTGATAATAATATTCCTTGCATTTGATATGCTTTATACATCTGTTTGATGTCCTTCATCACGTCATTGAAACGTTTCAAATTAACGCCCAGGATTTACTGCAGAGCCCAGTGATTGCAGTGGTCAGATTTTTGTGATGTGTTTAATGTGGTTTTAAATGACTTGACTTAACTTGGTGAGTCAGTTGTGCAGCATTTGATGGTAAGAACGGTATAAAAAGCTCATTCATCTCCAGTGTTAAAACTTTCAAAGGGAGTGGTATGCTTCCCTCCACAGATAACATCCTTTCCACCCTTTCCCCAGCCAACAATCAAATAAATACATAACTAGTTTAACTAGATCAATAGGAATATGTAGTGCATTAGGCAATGTATCATTTTAGTTTTAATGACTAACCTTGGCTGTTGAAAACTTTAGAATTTATTTCATGCTCAGGTAACTAGAGATTTCAGTTGATGATCATATGATGCATTCCGATCTCAGTGAGTGGGATTGAAACTGTAGATTACAAATGCATTTCATGATTGTTAGTAGGTATCTGAAAAAAGGGATGGATGGATTTTAAGTTTGCTCTTGGCCGGCGTTTGGTGAAGTACCAGATCATTGGTGAATGCATTGTGTTGATTGATTTTCATTTTGCCTGTGTCTGCTGAGACACACAATGTACATTACAGATAGAGGTGTATGTGTGTTTGCTTTTCTGATGGTGTGATCCCGAGTCATAAAATGCATGAAGATCCCAAGCTTGATCCCACGACTGCTAACTGGGAGTTAGTTGATCTCATCTCCAAGTTGATGGAGGTGTTGATCTCGGGCTTTCCTATGCTAGGTAGGGAAAAGATAATGGTGCTTTCCCACTGCTATATCCCTTGCTAGGTTCATATATAATTCAAGGCTCTCACTTTAATGAGACACTGCAAAGTTCTGACTCAAAGGAGGTTGAGATGGAATTAATAGGTATGTTTGAAAGAGATGCAGACTCATACTTGGGTAGTAGAGGTAAAGGGAATGGGGGTTAAGCAATCTGCCAAGATCCATTAAACTAGTCGATCAGGCTCGATGAGCCTATGTTCTTACAATCACTGTACAGCATCAATTTGATTGGGGCAGGTTCCATAATGGGTGGTAGAGGCCAGGACACTGGACACATTTAAGAAACTGCTTGACTCTGTAATGTGAAGGAGATGGGTATATATTCTGGAAGGATTAGATCAAATAGCTGTAAAATCGGCTATGCTTCATCCAAACCTCTTTTTGTGATCTTGTACTTTTGTTTTCCTTACTCAGTGTGAGAACAATGCATCTACTGTATTGACCAATGGCACATTTTTCTCTGAAGATTGAAATCTTAAATTGATAATGCATTTCCATTGCAAACTGATACTTATAAGCACGAATAAAAAGAAACCATTCAACGCACATGACAATGAATCTCAACGTGACTGCTTTCATCCAATACTGTGCTGCATTTAAGTACATAATTGTGGTAGTTCCGTGTCACCTCATGAAAAATTTAAGTGGCTCTAGTAGATTTTTTTATGAAGTAGATAATTGAAAAATGTAATGAAATGGCCTTCAGGTTTTGTGTTGACACCAAATTCGAAGCGAGAGTAGGATTTAAAGCTGGACGGGGAAATGTGATACTTAATTCACTCTTCGGGCATTTTCAAATGGCAGCCTGTGAACATCACTTCACCCATTTTTATCTCCTGGTGAAATATTCAGCAAGGCTACCACAACTACACAGTTAAATGTGCAAAAACTCCAAAATACTCATCTAGCTCCAGTATAATCTCCTGACCTCCTTCCCTCCAAATATAACATTCTTTCCACTCCACCAGCAGCCAAGCCTTAACCAGTTAAACTAGATCAGCAGGAATTAGTGTTACGTGCAGTCCAACAAGTTACACATAGTTTTAGTGACTAACAACAGGCAGGATTGCAGTCCCGTGCTCTCTGCCTGACTACCAGTGGGCAAGCTTTGTCCTTGAAAGGCACTCCCTAAATCCTCCCTCACCATGGTTGCCACCTCTCTACCATCACAACCTTTGTGTCTTCAGTCACCTGTCTACCAACTCCCTTCCCGTTTATCCCTCATCCATCTTGTGCTCCTAATCTATCTGAAGCGTTCTGTGAGATTCCTACAAGACAGACAATTTGCAGTCTAAGTGCAAATTGATGTTGTTGAGGTTCCTAAGTCTCCCTTTGTCTATGTACAATTGGACATTTGTACAATTGCTGCTGAAACTCTGGTCCACGCCTTTGTCACCTCAAGGCTGGACTATAGGAACTCTCTCCTCGCCGGCCTTCCCGCCACCTCCCTCCACAAGCTGCAGGTCATTCAGAACTCTGCAGCTCGTGTACTGTCCCGCACCAGGCTTCAGGACCACATCACTCCCACCCTCGCTCGCCTCCACTGGCTCCCCATCCCCCAGAGGATTGATTTCAAAATCCTCATCCTCACCTATAAGGCCATCCACGGCCTCGCTCCCTCCTACCTCTCTGACCTACTATCCACCTACCTACCTGCCCGTACCCTCCGTTCCTCCGGCTCCGGTCTGCTCCACGTCCCCCGCCCCAATCGCCCTACCATCGGTGGTCGGGCCTTCAGCCTCTCAGCCTCCAGGCTCTGGAACGCCATCCCCCAGTGCCTTCGCCTTGCTTCCTCCCTCTCCTCCTTCAAGGCCGGTCTCAAAACCTTTCTCTTTGACCGAGCCTTCAGCTCCCCTCTCGACTCTCTTCCCCCTCCTCGCTCCCTCCCTTCCCTCCTCTCACCCTGACCATTTCCCCCTCCTCGCTCCCTCCCTTCCCTCCCCTCACCCTGACCATTTCCCCCCTGCTCGGGTCCTGACCCAACTGTGCAGCGCCTTGGGACGTCCTCCTGACGTGAAAGGCGCTTTATAAATGGAATCTTGTTGTTGTTGTTGACACTAATGAATTACATACTTACAGCATTTTGTTTGTGTTTTGACATCTCAAAGCATGTGAAATGCTTTCAGTGGAAGCCAAGGGGCACTGAAACACTGTAAACGTCAGAGCAAGTTCTTGGGCAAACAGGTTTAAGTTACCTGCTGAGTGAAGTCTAGACCAGTACAGTCTCTCCGTTCTTGTCAGTTGAACGTCTCTCCATTAACATATGTATTTTTACACTGTGATTCTTTTTTCAGTTGCAGTTTTATCCAAAATGATTTCTATTAGCAGGGTTGAGAATTTTGTATGTATTCTGAAGGCCTAGAGATTTATATGGGCAGTCAAACCAAGCCAGTGTGGGGGGGTACAATAAAATATAGGTCACGTTTATTACCTGTAATCCTGCAGCCCAGAATATTTCCTGCATCGCAAAAGCACAGTTAGAAAATGTCACTTTTGTCCTCAGCAATTGAGATGCTTAGGCTTTGCAAATCTAATCGGATGGAATGGATTTCCACAAGCCCGCTCTTTAAACCCTTGCTGCAAAGCTGGATTATGTTCAAATGAAATAACGGTTCATTTGGTCTTGAATTGTCTCCTGATGCATGGCTCCATTGCTGATCTTTTTTCACATACATAGATTTACATACATATAATTTACAGCACTGAAATAGGCCATTCGGCCCAAACATTCTGTGTCTGTGTTTGCCTTCCACATGAGCCTCCAACCATTCAAATCACTTCCCGCCTTGTCTCTTCCTTTAGCCTCTGTTCCTGTGACTCTCATGCCTGCAAATGAGTGTGTATAATAATAATAATAATAATAATCCTTGCATTTGATATAGCGCTTTTCACGTCAGGAGGATGTCCCAAAGCGCTTCACAGAATTTACTGTAAAGTGAATTGACTGTATATTTGTAGGTGAACGCGGCAGCCAATTGCGCACAGCAATGTCCCACAAACAGTCGTAGATTGAAAATGACCAATTTATTATTGTTTTTTTTCTTGGAGGGATTATTATTAGGCGTGTAGAGTAAGGAAACTTGCCCAAGGTTCCGCCCTGCCGGGAATTGAACCCAGGTGTCTCGCTTGCAAAGCGAGTGCTCTCACCACTGAGCTACAGGACTCCACATGTGTATGAACACAATAATAAAATAATAATAATAAACATCCAGCTGTTCTGACAACAAAACAAATCTTTGGGTCCTGAATGTGGAGGTACTTACTATATGATTATAACTATAAACTTGACCATGTGTAACAACATCAACTGATTGTCCATTGAATGTTCTTGATCCTGATTGCAGGATTCTGCAAGAGAACCCTGCAGGAGAAGTTTAATAATAAATAATAATTCTTGCATTTGATATAGCCCCGGTAATGTCAAAACATCTGAAAAGAGCCTCACAGTAATTACTGTTAAGTGAAGTGACTGTTTTTGTAGGTGAACGTGGCAGCCAATTCACTCCTAGCAATATCCCACAAACAGCCAGGAGATGAATCATCAATTTAACTGGAGGATTGTTAGACAGGCAGAGGTTTAGCTCAGATGTTTCTTTGAGGCTGAACAGCTGGAATGTTATTAAAAGGGTGGTTACAACCATGGCACTGGACTCATTCAGAACACAGCTTGATGCTGTAATGGTAAAGGCAACAAGATAACTAGAAGGATGAGATCAAATAAACCCAAATGCCTTTTCACACAAAACCTATTCATTGAAAGTGGGAAGCCATGAGTAGATGAAATCAATTCTGTAGCCTGTGTGCCACAAGCAGATGTCTGGAATATCATTTCACAGCAGCCTCTGGTGAGAACCACTTCACGTGGTGCCAGAACCTTTCCTAAGGTCACTCTCAGTTTCTTGTGGGGTTGGCAGGAACATGTAGACAGGTTTGCTTTTGAAGTTCTGAAGAATTTTATTTGAAGTCCGCTTCCAGTTTGGTTGTTGTGTGAGACAAGCTGCTGGTGATGTTTGGCCCTGTGTGTTCTTGCCATGAATTTGCATCTCTGCCCACAGAGTGCTGGTGTTGTAATGTGGAGCAGAAGTGGCT